AGGACCAATGTAGAAATTTGTTTTGCCTGACTATGAGTAATTTGTTGGGAGGATTTTGTATTTTATTTATTTTTCAATGTGTGGGCAAGAAGGTGGGTTTTGCCAATTAAAAAAAAAATAAATTTTAAAAATGAAATGACCAATCACGACTCCAGAGGCCATATGATACAACATGTTTCCCACCTCCTACCAAAGTGATAGACTAGAGGTGCTGAATGGGACATAATTTTCAAATATGGCCAAGAGATAAACGGTCAGAGGATGTGAATATGCACTTTTCAAAAGACATGCAAGCTATCACTTAACATATGAAAAAATTATCGAAATCACTAGTAGAAGAAATGCACATTAAAATTATTCTAAAGTTCCACCTTAAACCTTAAAATTGACAATAACAAAAGGAAAATGGCAGTTGCAAGAAAGGATGTGAGAGAGGATAGATACATTGTTCTTAGAACTATGAATTTCTATAGCCATTCTAGAAAGCAATTTGGAATTATAAAAAAAAATCACTAAACTGGGCATAACCTAACCTGACAATATCACTACTAGGCATAGACCCCAAAGTGATCAATGAAAGGAGAAGATCCATGTGTACAAAAATACTGGGAGAAAGCATTTTTGTTGTAGCCAAGAACTGGAAAGTAAGGGGATACCCACTGATTAGCTTAACAAATCATGGTATATGAACATAACAATATCATATGCAGTATAAGAAAATATGAAAGGAATATGGGACAGCTTACATAAAATGATAAAGTGAGAAGAACCAGGAGATTTTTACAATAACTGTAACACTGCAAAGAAGAACAACTTTGAAAGACATATGAACTCTTATTAATTGCATTACCAACTTCATGAAACATGTTTCCCTTCCATTAGCAGAGGTGATGGGACTAGAGGTAAAGAATAAAACATACATTTTTCAGACATGGCCAACGTGTGGATTTGCTTTTTTGAGGGATTGATGATGGAAAGAAAAAAGAAAAAGGCATCAATGAAACATTTTTAAAGACGGAACAGAAAGGAAGTTCAGAAGGAAACAAAGATAAGCAAGGCAATGTTGGTAATACTTTAAATTTGTTGCTGTTTGTCCTTCATTCTCAGAAAACGACTATGACATCAGAGAGGTGATGCCTATGACATGCAAGTGAACAGGACTGAAGTGAGGGCTGGGCCAAGTCACCAGCGTAATGTTCTCTTCCGGAGTCAACTGGGTCCCTGGCAAAATGCAGATCAGAACAACTGGAGATGGCTCCCCAGAGAACTTCGTCCAGGGCTATCTCCAATCACCCTGATCTATATCTTGCCACTAGACCCAGGTGGTTTCAGAGCAGAAATATATATATAATACATATGCAATGTATATATATGCAATAATATACATATATGAACACATGTACATATGTTTAAATATAAACATTTATATTTTATAAATGCATAAATTTGTGTAATTTACATTATAAATATTTAAAATAATTAAAAATAAATAAATATTTGAAAATATTTATCTTTTAAAAAATTGTATGTAAGATTCACGGCTCATATATACCACTTTTCTTCTCCGTAAATAGAAATGTACATTTGTTGATATTTATAGGGTTGATAATTTTTTAAAAATGTTATCTGAGGAGGGAAAAAACCCCTTTAACTAATGGCTCCCTGTGCCTCTAGGGGGCAGTTAGGTGGCACAGTGGATGGAGTGCCAGGCCTGGAGTCATCAAGACTCATCTACCCAAGTTCAAATCTGATCTTGGACACTTGCTAGTTGACTGACCCTGGTCAAGTCATTTAACCCTGTTTGCCTCAGTTTCCTAATCTATAAAATGAATTGGAGAAGGAACCCCAGTATCTTTGCTAAGAAAACCCAAAATGGGGTCAACAAAGAGTCTGAACTGAACACCACACTGCCTCTAGGTAAAATGGAAATTCCAATTTGCATGGAATTTAAAGCCCTATGATACTTGACTTTCAACTACCTTCCCAGGCTTTTTCATTTTACTTTATCTTCACATACAGGCATCAGTAAAACTGACTTCTAAGGCTTCCTTAAAAGGACAATCTGTCTCTCACCAGTGAATATGCATAACACAACGACACTGGAAAGAACACATTTTTAAAAGCCCCCAGAGTTATCCTCAGACATTTCAAAAAGGGAAACGGTCCAAAAGGAGAGAAATAGGAGATGGCTCACCAAAGAACTTCTGAAAATACAAAGGGAGATAATTCCAGCAAGGAGAAAAAAACCCATGATTTATCTGAAGAGAATAATCTGAATGCCCAAGGAACTCACCAACCAATTTTGATCTTAAAAAGAAATGCATGAAAGATAAAAACAAGAGTAGGTTAAAGAAAATGAAGAAGAGGGTGACCCAGTCCTGGGGGGAAAAAAAACATGCCAAGAGTACTAATGCTGGAAATAAATGGAAGGAAGCTGTTAAGGGAAGCAAAGGACAACCAAAAGGGGTTTAGTTTTTGTTTTTCAGCTATATGTGGAGAAAATGGGGAATCACAGAAGCGATAAAACTTTTGCTTGGAGGGTAGATGGAATGAAGATTACTAACAGAAAGAAGAGAAGGCAGAACTACTCAATCCTTATTTGTTTTTCTTGCCAAGGAAAATGGATTTTTGCACCGAAAATGACGGAACAAAAATGATTAAAAGGGATTTCAAATCCAGGATACAATCAGGAGATAGTAAGAGAGCACCTAGTTGCTCTTAAATTTTATCATTTGGCCCAGATGAACTATATCTTTGTGCACTAGAAGAACTGGCAGATAGATTGGTAAGTTAATATTTGAAAGATGGGGGGGAGGGAAGGAGAGTTAACACAATACTAGGAGAAATGTCTACATTTAAAACAAAAATTAAAAGACTAGAGTCTGTAAACCATAAGTCAGTGAATTTCTTTGTTTCTTGGGAAAATTATTAAAGAGATGGTTGTTGGACAACTAGAGAGGAATCTGTGCTTGGTCCTGTGCTGTTTAACATGTTTACTGGTGACTTGGATAAAGACAAATACCCTTCTCATAAAATTTACAGATGACACAAAGCTAGAATAGCCAACACAAACAAAATGAGTCAGGGTCCCAAAAGATCTTGATAGGGAGAGCATTGGACTTTTTTGTACTTGTTCACAAGTAGAAAGTGGGAAAGGTATGGTTGGATGGCACATCGTCTGAAAGATCTGGGAGTGCTGGGGGGACTTTAAGTGGCAGCCAGCAAAGGTAATGTGATCTTGGACTGCTTTAAGAGGGGCTAAAGCTTCCAAGAACAGAGGGTATAGTCCACGGTCACTGCTTCCCTTTCTGGAGGTCCAACAACTATCTCTTTAATAATCCAGTCTAGAATTTTCCTAGATATCAAAGTGAAGCTCACTTGTGTTTGATAACCCTACTTAATTTAATCAGCATTTACTCCTTTCATTGTGATTGTATTGTGAATTAAGTAGAACAGGATTAAGTTTGAGGTAATTATATTAGTGGCAGCAAGGTGGTGAAATGGATAAAGTACTGAGCAGGGAGTCTGGAAGATCTGAGTTGGGGTCATAAAGAGTCAGACAAGACTGAAAAAACCCAAACATCATGCTCTACTTGCATTTTAATATTAAACTAGGATTAGGTTTAATGTTTTTTTTTTGTCCTGGACTTGCTGTGGGAATCCTAACTGGTACAGGGAAATGCCAGTGAGGAAACACCCTCTACCAGTGCAGACTGGCACTTGCTTTGCAATTTGTAATCTTAGAAAATTACTTCCCCAAGGTCTCAATCAGAATGTGTCACTCGTGGGGCTTGAACCTAGGTCTTCCTGACTCCTTGGTCAGCTCACTAAAAAGGTGGTCCAACTGCACTGGCAAAGGAGGTTCTTCACCAGGAGCTCCTTACCCTGAGGAAAACAGGTCTGAGCCACCCCCCCAAAAAAAACCCCAAACAAACAACATATGTGTCATATCACCCATCCCAGAAGAACTACATTTTCAGACACTGAAAAAAACTGTGAGATGTGATGTGCCTGAATTTGGAAGCTGAAAGGTAATACAGTGGGATGACTTAACCATCTGTTGAGGCAGTTGCTGCTATACTCATTTTACACAAAGTTTCTGTAAAACGGGCAGAACAGCAACTAGCAGAAAGGGTTGTTGTGAGAATTAAATTAGACATGTATAAAGCTCCTGGAGCATAACAGGCGCAATATAAATATGTGTGTGTGTGTGTGTGTGTGTGTGTGTGTGTGTAAATAATACCAGTTTCAGCTGAATTTTAACTCTTACATTCTCTGTGGGTAAGTCACTTCTGAGACCCAGTTTCCTGTATAGTACAATCTCACATTTATAAAAGGCTTTAAGGTTTGGAGGAAAAAAATCTTTGTAAAAAGGGGCAATTATCTCCTCATTTTACCAAGTTAACTTTACAGTATCACCACTTAAAAGCTGGAAAGGTCCTTAGAGGTCACCTCCTCCAATCCCCTTCATATTACAGATGAAGAAACTGAGTCTAGGGAGGGGAAAATTGACTTGCCCCTAGATCACACAGGTACGTACCAGCACCAAGAGTCGAACCAAGAACCCGCTGCCTTCCAAGCGCCGGAGAAACTGGACCCCGCAGTGGTATCCCCCCAGAAGCTCTGGCCAATTAAGGAGTCAACACCCTGAAAGTTTCACTTAGGCAATTTTCCAGGCAGTGACAGCGCTCTAAGACGATTTCGCCGGAATTCAAGGGCGTGTGTATACACTCCAGTGTATGTGTGTGTTGGGTCGCGTGGATGGACCGTACCAGGAACGCGCTGCGTTCCGCTCGCAGGCACCACCACGGCTCCTGGGGCGGTGGCCGTGGCCGTGACCGTGGCATCGGGGCCGTGGCCGGGTCGCCAGGCGCCCCCACTCCCGCTCATCCAGCCTCTCCCACGCCTCGCAGGCTGCGCATTCCCTGTCCCCACCCCCCGCGAGGGGCTGAGTGCAGCCTCCCTCCGGCCTCCCTCGGACCCCGGGCCCAGCCACTCACCGAGCCCAGCCCCGGGCGCAGAAGGCGAAGCAGCAGCCCCATTGTAGAGCGTCCCGGGTCGGCTCGGCTCCTGCCCGCGGGTTCCTCGCCTTTCCCGACCGGACTTCTGGAGACTGGGAGAGTAAAACTGAGCTTGCGCCTGCAGGACTCGTCCCTTTTCTACCCTCCCCGGGAAGGGTCTGCCCCACCGAGGGAGGGACGGCGCTATTCCGCCCACTTCTTGCCCGCCCCTTCCTCTCTCTTCCCTGCATTCTCTTTCTCCCTCCTACTTCATGTCTTTTCTCCTACACTTCTCCCCCATCTCCCTTCCAGCCTTCCTCTCCTTGTTTATATCTTCTCTTCCCTGCAGTCTCTCCCCACCCCTTTCCAGGCTTCCACTTTCCCTGCTTTTTCTTTCCTTCCTTCCTTTTCTGTTCCTTTCTCAGCCTGGAGTTTTAGGAATTCTAAACCCAGGAAGAGATAGCTTTCAAAACCAGCTCACCCATTTCAGGATCCCAGGATTTTGACCCTGACAGTGCAACTGCCGGGGACCCATCATTTCCCTGTTTCTGGCTTCAGTGTTCACATCAGTAATACAGAAATGATCAGCCCGCTTCTTGCCTGCCTGGTAATAGTGGATTGATTGTATTTTGTATTCTCAGTAGGAAATCCCATCCACCAAGTAATTTGTTGTCACCCTGTGGGGATGCAGAAGAAACAAAATGATTCTTGAAAACTGTTCATTTCCTTTGGCTACTTATCTTTTCAGGAATGAAAAAAAGACTTAATACTATTACAGTGAGATATAGTGAATGGAAAGCTGGACTTAGAGCCAGGAATGGTTAAATATCAGTATTTAAGTAGTGCTTTAAAGTTTGCAAAACGCTTTCTTTGAAGTAAGTGGTATTATCCCCATTTTATAGAAGAGGAATTTTGAGAAAGATTGTCCATGGTCACACAACTAGTGAGGGTCTGAAGCATAATTCAAACTCAGGTGTTGCTGATTCTGAGTCTACCCTTCTATCCCCTGGGCTGCCCAGCTGAAGAATACAAAGGGTTACTTCCCCACTAGATCTATGATTCTATGAAGCTCTAAGCCAGCAAGTGTGATCATGGACAAGTCACTTAATCTCGGTACCCCAACCAGCTCTTAAAACAAGTTACAGATGATTTGGAGAGCAGGAGAAATTTCTAGGTTCAGATTAAAAAAAACAAAAAAAACTAATGTAAAATTTTCCCGCAATCCATCTTTCCTCCTAATTTTAGCCATATTTGTTTGTGCAAAAGCTTTTTAATTTCATAAAATTTGAATAGTTTTTTTGTGTCTGTAGTGAATTTTTTTTTTCAGCAGAACACTGGGCCTGGAATCAGCAGGACCTGAGTTCACTTCTGGCCTCAACCACTTGCTAGCTTTGCTTAAGGGTATGAATGATTTTTAAAAATTAAATTGTCTCACTTTTTTGTGCCTGTTTTGCTGTATCTATGTGTGTGTGTCTGTGTTTCAAAAACTGGGACTTTTTCAAAAGGTCTAGGGCTCTGGATTTCTGAGACTACAATACTGGATAAAACACTAACTATAAAATGAGCAATTTGCAGAAAAGCAAAAAGTAGTCAAACTAATGAGTTTTCATTTCAGGAGACAGAGCTCTTTGCTGATGAGAGACAGAAGTGTAGAGGCAAGAACCTAGGCTTTGGAATCAGAAATCTGGCATATGAATCATATCTGAACTATTTATTACTAGGGTGTCACTGGGCAAGTCATTTTCCCTTTCTGGGCCTCATGAGGTTCCCTCTAAAATGTTAAAATATTTTAGTTGGGAAAGATGGGGAAACCCACAGGAAGGAACTGTTGCATGTGTCATTGATTTTGCTTGGTAATTTTTTCCCCTTTGTTGAAAGGAAGTCTCACTTGGAGAGAAGCAAAGGTAGAGAAGGAGAAGAATTACATTGGAATTGACCTTGATGTAAAACAAAATTAAATAAGATGAGTGAATTGGACTAGAAATAATTTCATCTAGTCACTAAATGATCTCAAGATAAGTCCTATGATCCCATGAATACAGAGAAGGCTTTGTTGCTCGAGAAAAGTCCTACTTAGAGAGGAAAGACGTGGGGTACAAGGGGTAATTGGGGTGAAACACAGGATCCAGTCCTGGACAATCTGGTCGGTCCCAAAAGGCGGGGCCCGGGTGAAAAGGGGCGGGTTCTAGAAGTGGTCCGGCGTCTGATGTGCGGTTGGGAGGGGCGGAGCCAGAGTGAAAGCGTGGGCCTCGTTGGAAGGCACAGTTGTCTAGTCACGTGGAATGGAACCCACAGTGGAAGGGCGGGTCCTGGGGGCGGGTCCAGAGCTGTTCCTCCTCCACTCACGGGGTATGGAGCCTCAGCGGAAGGGGCGGGGCTGCTCTTTCCCTCGGCCATAGAGACACAGGTGAAGGAACGGGTCGGGGCCTCCTTCCTCCCCTGTGTCCTCCGGCCCGCAGGGGTCGCTCTAGAAGTGTACCGAAGGTGGTGGCCGGGTGATGGCGGCCGCACCGATCCCCGGCTCGGGGCCGCGGGTGGCGCGGACCATGCTGGGGCAGGTGGTGCTGCCCGGGGAGGAACTGCTGCTGCCCGAGTCCGCGGGGCCTGGCGCCGAGGGCTCCGCGGAGCAGACGCTGCGCCTGGGATCAGTCGTGCGGCCCCGCGCCCGCGTGGTGTGCGGCCCGGGCCTGCGGCGCTGCGGAGACCGCCTGTTGGTCACCAAGTGCGGCCGGCTCCGCCACAAGGAGCCCGGCGGAGGCGGAGGCGGAGGCGGAGGCGTGTACTGGGTGGACTCCCAGCAGAAACGAGTAAGTGAAGGAGGCGGCCCGGCCCTCCAGGCTCCAGCACGTCGAGACCGGCCCGGGCGGGACTCCGCCCTCCTGGCTCCCCTCTTCAGATCCGGCGTCTCCAGCCTCTGTTTCCCCGCCTGTAAAACGGAAGAGCCGGATTCACTCATTCCCTGAGGGCTCTCCTAGCCCAGGCATCTCCTGACTTGAATCTTGGGGCACCCGGCCTCAGCCTCCCCATTTTCCCCTCCCTGCCTCTCGTCTCCACCTGCACTTCCCCGTCGCTGTCCTTTACATAGAGACCATACGGGGTGATCACCACCCTCCTGAAGACCTCTCTGAGTCAAATCAATCAATCAGTATTTATGATATATGACTTTGCGCTAAGCATTGGGGATACCGAAAGGGGCAAAACAGTCTCTGCCCTCAGGGAGCTTACAGTCTATTCAGGGAGACTGCATGCAAAACATATATACAAAGCCAGTTATAGAGGGGATAAACAGGAAATAACGTAGGGAAGGCACTGGCCAACTTCCTGTGGAAAGTGGGATTTTGGGTGGAACTTACTGTACCCCACTACTCATTTCAGGGTCGTATTTGGAGCTGGAGGGATCATCTAGTTCATCCCTTTCTTTTTACAGAAGAGGTACCTGGGGCCCAGAGATGTGAATCAACTTAGTCAGAATCACCCAGGTAGTAAATATCAGGCCCTGGATTCAGACCCCCAGCTTGATTGACTCCAAATCAGCTCTTCCTCTGCACCTTGCTGCTCTTCTTTACAGTTCCTTCATCACTTAAAGGCTCTAGATTTTGACATTTAATAATAGCTCGCATTTTAGAAATCCTTCAGTGAAAAGGGTGTAAGAGGACCTCAGCACTCCCATCTCTGATGCTTATAACTGTGTAACCTCAATCAAATCATCTATTCCCAGTTTTTAGTTTTCTCTTAAAATGTGAAGTGATGGTGTTGGACTAGATAGCCCCCCAGGTCTCTTCAAGCTGTTTATGATACCATCATTTGACCCTAACCACAATCCAGTGAGTGAACTAGCAGCCAGCTGCTAACAGGTGTTCATGTAGTTTTATTTTGTTGTCTCCTGTTGTCTCTACCAGAAAATTCCTGGAGAGCCCCTGCCACAGAAAAGTTCTCAGTACCACTTGCATGAGACCTTCCTGCTCCAAACCATCCTTTTGGCTTCAGAATTGTATTTATGCATGCCTAGTCATATGACTTCACCCAAAACCCCTCCTTGGGTGTCTGTGGTTTACTGAATAAAATTCAGATTTCCTAGGCCAGCCATTAAGAGTTCCTCCTAAAGTTTGACCCCACCTTACTATTCAGGTCTAGTGAAGCTGTGCTACTTAATATTGCCCATACCTGTTCTCTGTGGGGCCATGTCCAATCGTCCTGATCTATATTTTGCCACTGCTCTGAAGGAGAGAGTGAGGCTGGTGACTTTGCATGTCCCTCCCTCACTTAAATCCAATTTACTTGCAAGTCATGGCATCACCTTCCTGATGTCTTGGTCCTCTTAAAGGACAAAGAACATGTTCTCTACTGTCCCACCTTTGCTAGGATCTGAAATATGACCTTTACCCATCACCTCCCTATCCCTTAAAGTTGAGTTTACTGCTACTTCCTGTATAAAACCTGTCTTGATCCCTTATGTTTTCCTCGAAGACAGAGACTATTTAGTTTTTAACTTTGTATCTCCAGTGCATAGCACAGTGTGTGTCACAAATACTTAGTAATGGATTTTCTGCAGCACCTCCACCTCCCCGTTGATTATTGTCTCCTCTCTCCAGGACCTAACATTTTGCTTATAACTTAAGCACATGCCACAGATATTGAATTCAAATATTTAAGTGCCTACCATATACAAGCCATTATGCTATGTATTCCAAGAATACAAAGATAAAAATAAAAAAGTTCTTGCCCTCACAGTGAGAGGATAAGTAACATATTCATAGATGAAGTGTATTAATAGATTCAATGAAAATTATAGAATGATGGGAGTAAAGGAGAGACAAAGGTAAATATTCAAAGAATATTTGAGGAGGAAGAGAACATTAAGGATGGATTGTTGATTGGGAGATACTAGGAGCAAGATGACAAATTAGAGGAGTTTACAATAGGCAAGGAGAGAGGTACACTGTCATATTAGTTCATACTATAGATGTACACTCCACGAGGACAGAGATGAGTCTTATCTTTGTATCTCCCTCAGTGCCTGTGTGGTGGATCAATATTTAGTGAATTGAATGAATAAACAAAACACTTGTTAAGTGCTTGCTATGCACTGTGTTAATTGAGTGGAGTGGTATATGGACAACTTATTAGCCAAGTAGCCCAAATTTCTCCTCTGAAAGTATTTTTCTAAAATGTCAGAGAAATAAACATAATGACATTTATATGGAGAAATATATAACTCAGTGGATAGATATAATATCTGGATAAAATTAGTGGATAAATATCTCAGTCTGAGATAGTTTGAAAATAAATTTAGTTATTAATAAATTCATCACTGGGATTATTCTGTATTGGTTTGTACCTTTTCTCTATATTTGGAATTTATAATTCAAAAAATAGCAACTTGTTTGCTGTATGCAAGGTACTGGACTGAGTGCCATATATGTTCACCTGGACCTATGTGATCTAATTGGTACAGATGTTCTCTTCAAAGACAACAGCCTGTCCCTCCCTGCCTGTTTGGTAAATTGTTGTCCATGACCTCTCATAAGTGCTTGTAGATTCAAGGGCAAAAAAAAAAAAAACCCAAGACAGTTGCTGCCTTCAAACAGCTTACATTTTTCAGCATATAGCTATATGTTTTTTTTTCCTTTTAAAGAGGTCTCATTTAGAGATATAGCCTGTACTTAAGCATTGCCTATATTTGGACCAATGTGGCATTTATAAAATAATATTGATACTTAAATGTTAAAATATTATGTAGTCTTTTAAAAGCATAAGTGTAAAAATCTATTTGCAGGGTTTGCTGGTGAAAATCTTTTTCAATTTTCAGATGTCTGTATGCTTGTGCTTTTGTGACTTTTCTCTTGCAGTACGTCCCTGTTAAAGGAGACCATGTGATAGGCATTGTGACTGCAAAATCTGGTGACTTGTTCAAGGTTGATGTTGGAGGGAGTGAACCAGCTTCTCTGTCTTACTTGGCATTTGAAGGAGCGACCAAAAGAAATAGACCAAATGTGCAGGTAACAGTGGGTCTGTTATTTTTAGTGACTTCACATCATGAGATGAAATTAGATTATCTGTTAAGTGCTTAGCACATTGTCAGAATAGTACAGGCTGCCCCACTGGGGACCCAACTGGCCAGTTCCAGTTGGGCAGTTCATCTCCTCCCTTCTTTCTTTTCCTTCCTCCCGTTCCCCTCCCTCTTTCCTGCAGGTGCTCTGCCCAAAGGAACATACATTTTGATCCCTGAAACCTCAAAAGTTATCTTAGAGATTTACTGCTTCCCTTTTTTTTTTTTTGTGAGGCAATTGGGATTAAGTGACTTGGCCAGAGTCACAAAGCTAGGGTCTGAGGCTGGATTTGAACTCGGGTCCTCCTGACTCTAGGGCCGGGTACTCTATCCACTGGGCCACCTAGCTGCCTCCTCCCTTTCTTTTTTTTTTCTCCCTTTCTTCCTTAAGTACAATGCAGTTAAGCCCAATTCACTCTGGCTTTCATTGATTGGCCAACAATAAGTCCCAGCCCAGGCCCAACTTAGTGGTTATAGTTTTGTCTCTGATTGGCTCAGAGTAAATGTAAATAGCAGTTGTTTTGATCTCAACCAGAAACCCTGAGGGTCTTTCCCTCCCAGATTGTTGGGTTTTTGTTGTCTCATTTCTTACCTAGCCTTAATCACCCTATGGATGTTGCCTCTGTCAGACTGAGCCCAGTTAAAGACCTTAACTTAAAAAAGCTAGAGTCTCTCACTGCATCCAGGGCTATCACCAGTTGTCCTAATCTGAATCTTGCTCAGATGGCTCTGGAGGAGAAAGTGAGGCTAATGACTTTGCACAGTCCTCCCTCAGGTAAATCTAATTCACTTGCAAGTCATGACATCACCTTGGTAATATCACGGTCCTCTTTGAGAGGGAAGGACAAACATCAAGCACCTTGCCTGGTATATAGTAGGTGTTTAATAAATGCTGGTTCCCTAATCTTGTCCCTTCTTCCATGTATCTGAAAGAACTATTCTGAAGTCAGTGTCACCTCTGCACCATGATTTTACCCAGATATCTAGATAGTGTATTTAGAACTATTTAAGACTTATATAATTAGCTTCATTCTGATGCTGTTCTTTTTCCTCATTTGTTTCAGCTCCTCTGCCAGGCAAGGCAGTGTTAATAAGTTAAGTGTTGAGTAGCAGCAGCTACCAGAACTCTCTCCCTAAATGAGCATACTAACTTATTGCTTGACATTCCCTCAAAATCTGACTCTTCAAGTAGCATAGGCCAAGCTGTAATTGTGAAAACAATAAATATCCATTTGTTGTTTGGTAAGGAATTTTCATTAAGTTGCCCATTTTGGGATTAGAGTGGAAAATTAAAACCCTGCTGCAAAAATTGTTTTGCTCTGGGCAGATTTGCTGTCCTGAAATTTACATGTAGGAGGGGTCTTCCTCAGCCTGAAACTGCAAATCTGCCAGAAGTGTGAGGATGAGAGGTAACTCAGAAATTCTCTTGAACATTGTATATCCAGTTGAATGTAAGTTTGAAGGCAGAGATTGTTTTTATTTTGCCTTTGTATCCCAGTATCTGTGAGAGGGAAATACAGAGCAGGCCTTGGAGACAGGAAGATCTAGGTTCAGATCCTGCCTCTGACACACTAGGAGTATGTTCTGGGTAAATCACTAACTTTTCAGTGTTGTAGGCAACTCTGTAAGATTGCAAAGAAAGGGCCACACTGCCTTGTCAGAGGGAATTACCTTATCCAGTAATTTCAGTAGTCACTGACATTACAGGACCAGTCCTTGTCCCTATTTTATGGGCTTAGCATTTAATAAATGCCTGTTGATTTAGTTTGGAAGTATGAACCTGGAGGAATTTTCTGGATTCATGCTGCCCTCCTGGTTTGAGGAACTCCTGTGGAAGAATGATTTGTTATCTTTCCATGACTTCAAAGTAGTCCTGAGGTCCAGAAATATAGACTAGAACACCTAACGGGGTGTCAGATCACCCAGACCCTGAGGTTACCCCAGTTGGTTGATCTTTCTAAAGCCCAATTTTGATCACATAAGCTCCCCTGCCCAAGAAGTTTCTATGGCTTTTTTGATGGCTGTAGGATAAAATACAAACTCCTGTTTGGTATTTTAAGGGCCTCACAGTCTTGTGTGGACCACAAAACTCCAGGCTGTAACAAAAATCACTTAGACGTCTTGAGCATGTTCAGTTTCTTATCATTTGGGTCCAAGACCTTCCTCATGGTCAGGGACCCTTCTGCTTGAAGAATTGCTTTTGTAGCCATCAAGGGAGTAACAAAAACAGAATGAGGTACAATTCCAGAAGTGGGAAAATCTAATGGTTGGCCAAGGGAAATGTCCCATCAATCACCAACACTTTGTCATTAGCTACAAGTCATCAACTATTGTTTTGTCTTAATATTAGTGCTTAATAAATGCTTGTTGAATTTATTGTTAGCTGTTTGTGATTGATAGGGAATAGCAACCAGAAAGTGGATTTTGGGATGGAATATTTGCTGCCTTGCATCTCATCACATGTAACACTTAATTGTTTTAGGTAGGAGATCTCATTTATGGCCAATTTGTTGTTGCCAATAAAGACATGGAACCAGAGATGGTCTGTATTGATAGCAATGGAAGAGCAAATGGAATGGGTGTAATTGGACAGGATGGCCTGTTGTTTAAGGTGACGCTGGGTTTAATCAGAAAGTAAGTATTGTGGCCTGGCCTTTCTGCCTTCAGTATGCTTTCCAGGGAAAATAACCTAGTTTTGATTTTTTGTTTTGCATTGGTAGCCTGGAATTTTTCCTGCAAGGTAAAAGAAATTTCAGTAGCTTCTTCCCTTAATAATAACACTTAAAATTCATATACTATACTGCTTTATAATTTTCTAAATACCATCATGTCACACCATGGTGTTACGAGGAACATAAGTGGTATCATCATGATTTGAAAGAATTCTTTCCTAATCCTAAACACTGAACTTAGTCTAGAGATGATGGTGTCCCGGGATGTAACTTAACAAGGAACCCTGGGTTTCGGTCCTAGCTCTGACACCAGCTGGTGTGATCAAATCCCTTCATTCTCTGAGCCTCACTCTCTTCATCAGCAGGCATAATCACTGGGCGAACACTTCACAGACCTCAAAAGTGTTGTATAAATTATTGTTATTATGGCATTGGGGGGGTGGATAGCATCCACGATCAGCTAAATCCAGTTGTTATGAGTGCATTGTTGTATTTGTAGGTATTCCGTAAATACTTGTTGCCTCAATTCACTTTATATTTTAAAGTGAGTTTTCTAGAGTATTTCTGCATTAAAAGCATTCTGGGAGTTAAAGAGGAAAGGGGTCCTAGAATTAGTGCTAAAAGGAACTTTAAAGATCATCTAATCCAACTTCCTTATTTTACAGATTAGGTCTTAACTGTGGTTTTTGGTACAAAGGTGGTAAAATGTGGGGGTTGATTCTCTATTTATCAGAAACTTCTCACATGGTTCAGAAATGGAAGGAGGGGGTGAAGATTGGTTAGGGGGAGAAAAGTACAAGTAATTTGTCATAGTTTATAACTGACATCAGAGAGAGACATTTGGGGTGTTTCTTTTTTTTTTAACTTCATTTATTTCTCCAATCCCACACCAGGCTCTTAGCTCCTGAATGTGAAATTATCCAGGAGATAGGAAAACTCTACCCACTGGAAATAGTATTTGGAATGAATGGAAGAATATGGGTAAAAGCAAGAACTATTCAACAGACTTTAATTCTGGCAAATGTTTTGGAAGCTTGTGAACACATGACCACAGAACAAAGAAAGCAGATATTTTCCAGATTGTCAGAAAGTTGACGCTACTTCTCTGCTTCATTCTTTATGTAGAATATGATATGAGCTAGTGGTAACACTGATGGTTTTATAAGAACTTTTTCATCTTCAGATGAAACCTTCCCTTCTCATCAGTTCCTCAGGATAATGTATGATAAAAACATTTGGTTTTGATTTTTATTATTAGTAAGAAAGCCATTATCTGAGGGTATACCCCCCTCAGTTAAGTAGCCAGTCCCAACTCAGCTATCTTTGTCAGAGCCAGGCCCCAAGAGGAAATGGTTAACAAAGAGCAAGAATGAGCTTGAGGTTGGGAGGAAATGGGGGGAGAATTATTGAGCAAGACAGTAGCACATTTCATTACTCTGGATGCCAGCCCTGCAGTTACCATTCCTGCCACCTGACATTTACCCTCTCTTGAAACTGAAAACACAGAGCTTGTGAATGCACATCAGCTGTTAAGTGCTTTTTAGTACGTTCTTGGCTTTGTTGTATCTAGTGCCGGTTTTGTGCTGGTTTTTTCCACACTGCCTTGGCCTCTTCCCTCCCCTCCTCTCCTTCCCTCCCTGTTTTCTTCTTCGTTTTCATTTTCACATCATTTTTGCAGCACATGGTTTCTTGCAGATGAATGAAAGCTGCTGTCATCATTGAGGATGGGAGTTCCTGAGGATGAGGTGGTGTTCCATTTCCCTTCTCAGCTTTCTCTGTTTCACTTTAGAAACCCTGGCTAGACTTTGTTAAAATTCCAGTATTGTTTCTTTTGGCTTTTCCTCACCTTTTCTGACCTGCATGTTTGGTTCTGGGTTACTGTGGCTCCAAGAAGCAAATAGGAAAGAACTCCCCGACAGGTTGGCCTGTCTGTTGACCTACACGTAGAATTAGATACCGTTTCTAAGGGTAGGGATCAAACAGTGGCATAGTCCTTCCCACCAGTTCACAGGTCATTTTCTTTCCCTCTCACCCCCCAATTCCTTTATGTAAACAGATACAAGTAAAATAGGATCAAATTTAAAAATATGTCTCTTTATAAAATGTAGAAAATGGGTATTACTTTAGAGAATTAATCAGCTTCATTTCCATTGGTCTGTCAATCATAATTCTGCCCCAACCAAAATCCATACTAGGGAACCCCTTTTATTAGGCAGATTAGAGGGTTGTGTTTGTTTTAACTATTTTGCAAACTGCAGTCTGGTTTTATCTCCACTGGGGTGAGGTGCTTTGGGGGCTTGCACAGCAGTGCAGATCTGTGCCCATTTGAACATAAAGAAATGCTCATTGAGTCTTTGCTTTTTTAAGAGTTACCTTTTTGGTTGTACATGTTTGGTAAGCAACTTTTAAATTCAGGTTTATTCAAATAAAGTTGACTTTGTGTTGTGATGGAAGGAGTGTAAAACTTACTGCCACATATGCATCTAGCCCTAGTATTTGTCCTCAAGTGTAAATAGTCAGTAGTGAGATGCTGTGTTTCCTATCATCATTTTTAAAATGGGTCATAAGAGCTGACCCTGGGATCTGGCGGTGTGTCTCATTCAGATTCTGCAAGGACCTTGAAACATCTCGTAGGTCTCTTAGAAACATCTGTGTCTCTTAGAACCTGAGGGCTCATCAGGGAAGAGTTTACTTTCCACTTGCAAAGTATTCAGGAAGATAAAAGACAAAGCTTTAAGGTTGAGGATACCCATAGCTAGAAGGAAGCCAGCATAGTCGCAGGGTTTCTTGGAAACTAGCCACTTAAAGTCAGTCCACTTGGACAGCAGCATTATTATTGACTCCTAGTTCCTGGCTTCACTTAACTGTTATTTTGGTTCAGAGTTAAAGCAGTTTACAGAACCCCTTTCTCCTCTTTCCTGCTTCCTTCTTCCTTTCCTCCTTCCTTTCTTCTACCTTCATACTCTCTTCTCCTAAGATAAACCATTTGTGTAACACACATGTAATCTAAGAAAGACACTTTATTATGTGGTTGTAATCAAAAGGGATGCTTTCAAATGACCTTGTATCTTCAGTGTGGAAAATATTAAATACAGCAGCAACAAAAATCCCAGTTTTTGGTTAATCCAGTTGCATTTTAAATGTGAGAATGGAATTCCAAACACCTAAGCCATTCTGCTTCATGACATAAAGTAAATATATGGATATGGTATTTGTGAATGATTTTTTAAATTTAAAAAAAACCCTTAAATAAAAAAAAAAATTCCAAAAACGTCTGTGTATTGGTTGATTGAACCAAAGGCTTCACTGAATCGACGTTGCTTTGTAGGTCCTAGAAAAGACTAGTTTTCAGTCCCTTTCTGTCCTTTAGCTAGGCCTTAGGATAAATAAACCACACAATCAGACATCAAACTTAAATATAAAATGGGATCTTAAAGGTTCAGGGTAGTAAAAATGCTTGTCAAGGGACTTTTAATTTGATGGCAGGATACAATATACTGGATTTGGGACTTAATTGCTGACACTGAGGCATACAGGAACATTTACTAAGTGTTAAAAACAGTTTATGATGCCAACAGTGACAATTTAAAAACAGTTAACCATTTAAAACTTGACAGGCCAATGTTAAAAAACATTTAAGCCTAATTTCAGCTGGTTCTTCACCTGGCAGCTTTCCCCTTATAGAGGGAAATTGGTGGTCCTTTGGAGCCTTAGGGTTAGCCTCTGGCAGAACTGGATCTCTGCCCTTGATTTACATATATAAAAAGGGTATAGAACAATGTAGAATGGTTATTTTTTTTCTTTGTAATGAAATTTATTAAAATGTGACAGCTGATGTATTGCTAACTTTGTTTAGATACATATAGATGAAATAAAACATCACAGTGGAGTAAAGAAGAGAAGATACATAAACCGAGGAAGTAAGCTTTTAGCTTTTGTTCCCCCAGAGGTATTAGAGTTAATACCTTGGAGTTAACTTGGATTCTTAGAACTCAAAAATATAGGCAGGGAGTTGGGAGGTGAGGGGTCAATCTGAAGTACAAGAGGAATTCCATGGTGGTGATGTTTGTCCTTCATTCTTGAAGAGGACCATGACATCAGGGAGGTGATGCCATGATGTGCAAGTGAATTGTATTTAAGTGAGGCAGGGCTGTGCAAAGTCACCAGCCTCACTTTCTCCTCCAGAGCCATCTGGTCCCAGTGGCAAGCATCAACTGGACGACTGGAGATGGCCCTGGATGCAGTGGGAGACCTTGGCCTTTAAGCTAAGGTCTTTAACAGGTCTCAGTTTGATTAGAAGCAACACCCAGTCAGTGATTAAGGATAGGTAAGAAATGAAGCTAAGAATGCTCTCTACCCCTAGTCAAAAAAAAAAAAAATCAGGAACAGGAAGATCCCCAGGGTTTCTGGCCAAAACAAATAATTGCTATTCACATTCACTCTTAGCCAATCAGGGCCCAAACAATGACCAAGTGGGGCTTCTTGCCTGGGACCTATTGGCCAATCTATGAGAGCCAGAGTGGGTTTAAGGCATGATCCTTAAGAAGGAAAAAAAAGTTTCAGAGATCAAAATTATGCTCAGGCAAGGAAGGAGGCAGACCCGATTCCGGGAACACTCGGGAGAAAGGCACATAAATGGTATGCCAGTGGGACTGGACTAAAGGATTCTTCATGCTGGCCATTTTCTACCCTGGCATTCCAATTGTTTCTCCCTCAAAACTGGAACACTAGGGTCGGTGCCCTGGAGAAGCCAAGCGACCCTGCCCTATATTCCGTGGGATTGTGCAGCCTCACCTTTACCTGGCCACTTCTACTCTTTGGGTCAGGTATTGGAACCCTGCCCCCCAATCTCTAGCTCTGACACCTGACTCAAATTGACACTAGCATTGCCTCAAGGAGGGGCCTGTCAATTAACTGCCCTTCCCACCTCTGACTTCCCATACCAGGAACTACTGAGCTTGGCTACCACCCACTCTCCTCTAGGTGTTGTCCACCCTGTTAGAATCTCTCATTGATGAAAGGGACTGTCCCATTTTTATCACCAGTGTTTGGCACTTAAGTGCTAGACAGAGGGTAATGTATAATAAGGCTAGAAAGAAAGGCTGGGTTGTGAAACTAAACAGAAGAGTTAATTTTATCCTAGAGGTAACAGCCATTGGAATTAAATGATTTGGTGAGTGACATGATCAGATCAGTGCTTAGGCAAATTCACTGGCAGCTAAGTAAGGAATGTACTTGAACAGGGAAAGACCTGAAGCAGGAAATAATTAGGAAAGCATTGCAATAGTCAGTGCAAATGGGGATGAGGGCCTGAACTACAGCTATAGTTGTGAGTGAAGAGAAGGGGTCAGGTAGGAATGGTAGTAGAGGTAGAAAGGGCGAAATCTGGCAAATATATGGGGCAAGGAATCAAGTATGGTAAGACTGGAAGAGGGGAGTTTTGCAAGAAAGTAAATTCTGCTTTGGACATGCTGAGCTTGAGGTTGTCTTTAGGACAATCAGTTTGAAAGGAATATGAGGCATTTGGTGGTATAAGACTGAAGCTCAGGAAAGAGCCTTGAAGCACAGACACAGTGAGGGGCTTGATAGGGACAATAATTTGGCAAAGGAGACCAAAGAGCCGTAGGGTAGGAGAAGCAGTAGAGAATTTCCTGAAAACCCAGAAGAGGGTATGCTGGAAATGAAGACGGTCAACAGTGGCATGCAGCAGAAAGGTGAGGAGTTTGGGGACTAAGAAAAAATCATCAGATTTGGCAATTAGGAGATCATTGCTAAAATGTCAGAGAGAACAGTTAGTGATAAGGGTGACAGGAAAGTAGAGGCATTGTATAAATAGCTTTTTCTAGGAGGTTAGCTGAAAAGAGAGGAGAGGGAAAGAATGCAGAAATGGTAGGATCCAGTAGAGGGTTTTTTTTTTTTAAGATAGGGGAGATTTGGAGTATCCTTGGAAGCAGGGAAGGAACCAATAGGAAAAAAATGACTCCAGAAAAAGGATGATTAAGGGGCCACCTGCTGGACAAGATGGGTGAGGATGACATAAAAGGCAGGTGGGGGCAAGAAGAGTCACTTCATTATCAGAGACTTCAGGAGAGGAAAGAAAGAGTGGGGGAACATAAATGAGGTCTCTGCCCAATACTGTACCCCACGTAACCTACTTTGATTTAAATTATATTCCAACATAAGCTTTTTAAAACCAGAAGGGGAAAAAAAACCTGAAGTGATAATACCTTTAAGAATCATAGAGTGTGGGTTAGTGGAAAGAAAAAGGGATTTAAAGTCAACATTTGGGCTAAAATCTCAGCTCTGACCCTTAATTACTATTTGGTCTGAGAGTTATTTTACTTTTCAGGGCCCCAGTTTCCTCATCTGTAAAATGAAGGGGTTGGACTATCTCTGGTCCTTTTTAGCATTAAATCCCTATGAGAGGCAGCTACGTGATACAGTGGATAGAGCACTGGGCCGGCACTCAGGAAAACCTGTGTTCAAACCCAGCTTCAGGCACTTACTAGCTTTGTATCCCTGAGTAAGTCACAACTTCTGTTTACCTCAGTTTCTTCAACTGTAAAATGAGCTGGAGAAGGATATGGCAAACCATTTGCCAAGAATACCCCAAATGGGGTCACGAAGAGTCAGACATGACTAAGATGACTCAGAAATAACAAAGATGATATGCAGAAAAAGAGTCTCTGGGCCTTTTCTAGTAGAAAATTTGGCATCCAAGAACTTCATCTTTCATTTCAATCACCATTGTTATGGAACAAATACTGGCTGGCCCTACACTGTTGTTTTGTCTGACAAGTTTTTTTTTTCAGAAACAATATTAGGTGAGGTGCAATGATAGATTTTTAAAAAATCTATTATACATAAAAATATAATTTGGTATCTTTTCATGATCCCTCATGCTGTCACCCATATTTTTATACATTATAGTTTTTACTATAATGATTGTAACATCTTGCAAATTTACCCTTTTCAGGGTACCTCAGAGCCGAGAGTACCAAATTGAAAAATTATTTTCTTTCAGAATAAAATATAGGACTTCTGGATCCCCCTGAATTTGGGTGCCTTAAATAAGAGAAACAATAATGAAAGAGAGAGAAAATCAAAACAGGAAAAAGGTATTTTAGGGTTTTCATGTAGGGGTCCCCTCAGGTATCAGGGATGGACACAGTTTAAGCACTAATCCTAATATAAACCAAAGAACAAATAGTAGTGTGGCTAGGATGTAATTCTCCCCATCCCCCCCAACACAGATACACAAGAAACTTCAGTGACCAGTAACAGTGTTTAATCAAGCTTGATCACCCATCTGATTCATGTTACTTGGCTCCCAGTGACTTTTGTTTGATCTAAAATGCAGAAAGAAACAAAAAAGATTTACCAGCTCTGTGATCTACTTGAAAAGATTTGGTGTCAGGGTGAAGGTCTGCAGGTGGTTCTGCTACTTACCTTGTGTTGTTCAGTCATGTCTGACTCTGTGACCCCATCCATGGACTTATCCATAGAGTTTTCTTGGTGAAGATAGTGGAGTGGTTTGCCATTTCCTTCTCCATTCTGTCCCCACTTTATAGATGAAGAACTGAGGCAAATAGGGGTTAAGTGACTTGCCCAGAGTCTCACAGCTGGTTAAGTGTCTGAGGCTAGATTTGAACCTGGATCTTCCTGACTCCAAGCCCAGGGCTCTATCCAATGCACCACTGGGCACCCTCTTACTTACTATGTAACCCTGGGCAAATAACCTTTCTGGGCCTCAAGATTTCTCCTCTGTAAAATAAAAAAGAGTTGGGCTAGAATGTCTGTGATGCCCCTTCTACTTTTAAATCTCAGTGTTAATAAACACTGAGGCTTTTCAAAAGAGTGGAAGTGACCCAGTGAAAATGAGCATGATCTTTCAGGGGAGGAGATGGATATTCAATGAAATAGGGGACTTCCATACCTTCCTGATAAAAAGACCAGAGCTCAACAGAAAATCTGATCTTCAAATACAAGACTCAAGAGAGACATAAAAAGGTAAATGGGACAGAAAGAAACAACATGTTATTAATAAGGGCAAACTGTTTACATCCCTACATGGGAAGATGACACTTGTAACTCTTGAGAACTGTATTGCTA